CGGCAAAAGTCAGCAGTGCCAGCTAATTAACTGGTCGCCAGGTACAGACTTACTTCTCGACCCGTCGACGACCCCGAAACCCGCCCACCGACCACCGCCCACAGCCCACTGCCCCCTGCAACACATTCATGCAATATTTAAGGCAAGTTGGCCGGCCGGGCTTAAACAAAAGCGAAAGGCATGTTTAATCATAAGAGCAAAAACAACACGAAACGGTCGCCGTTTGCCGTTTCCCGTGTTGCCAAAGGCAGAAGGTTCCTTTCGCTCCTCGGCCAAAGCTGAAGCTGAATTGGTCGAGAAGTGACGTCAACGTGGCGGGCATACAAAAAAGGGTTAAGCAAATATTGAAGTGAATAAAAACCATGAAAAGGGATCCAAGCAAAAAATTACTACAAAAATACCAGCATACGTATAGATCTATATAAATTTACAGCTGCGGACAAAGTATAAGTTAAGATAAGTCAAGTTAACAGCAACCATTGCGCATTCCACATACTAATATTTGAATATATCGCCTTTAAAACACCTTCACTGAAATAATTTTTAAATTTTATTTTAGTTTGAAAATATCTCTGATAAAAACTATTTTTGATTTTTTTTTTTTCGATTTTAAACTTTTACGCCAGGAAATTATAATAGTAATTGTGTAATTGTAATTGTATAATTTTAATTTGATAAATACGGCCTTAGAGATTAAACGTTTCCTATCAATTTTACCTCTGATAAACCCTTTTAAACACTGTTTTTCAATTAAGGTGCTGCTGTCTGTGAATAAAATATAAATATTCGCTGAGCTATGGAAAACCATGACCAGCATTAGACCTTAAGTTCTCCTAAAGTTTATTTTCTTTACCAATACGGGTTAGCAAAATCCTAATCAGAACGGCAGGGGAATTTGGAAATAAACAAACAAAATAAAGGGGCTCCAAACTTTTGGAAAGGTAAAAGTGCTATTATTTTGGCTGCAATTGTGCTCGCTGGCAAAGCAAAGCAAAGAGAGATGAAACGCAACGCATACAGCTTACTACTCTTTTGGCCGTGTCGCGCGGCTGTGGGCGTGGCACATAGAGGAGGCGTACGGACCACTGCGAAAGGCATTTCCAGCTCTGTTGCAAAACCCAAAGCCAAAGTCCCAGCCAGGCTTGCTGGAGCAGCAGCTACCAATTAATGTCCTTGTTAGGCAGTGGCCTGTAAAATTGGCTTAAAAAATGTAACCTTATGCGAGAGCGAGCCAAACTGAATTCTACTATGTGTGAGTGAGCGTTTATGTGGGAGGCTAGGGGAAATATTATTTTATAAGCTAAAAATTCTTAAATAGATTTTGTAAATATTGAATTCTATGAGAAGAAGCCTCAAGCATAACAATACTGTTTTTACGAACAGTTAATCATAAAAGCTTTTCTGGTTTCTTTGGCAACCTATTACTTCTTGCCTATGAGAAGTGATAAAAGTCGAATTCGAAAAATCGATTCTTGCGCACACCTGCAATTTCAGTAGTTATTGAGGTCTTAAACAAGTTTAAAAACAGCATTAAGATATAACATTCAAAACTCGAACTCCGGTTTTTATTTTATTAATTATAGGTTTTTTTATTACATTTTTATTTAATCGATTATTCAAATAATTATTAACAGAAAACCTTTTCATATTCGAATTTAAATATTTTTGTAAGTGAAAAAGTTTTTCATGGTTTAATGGCAGGCAAAGTTCCCGTACTTATCCGCGGCATAAACCGCGCAATGCACGTGTGTGAATAGGTCTGTTTATACGACCAGCGAGTGTGTATGTTTGGCCAACCGAAGGGCAGGAGGAACTCTGGCCACGACAATGGCTACTGTTACGTACTGGCTGGTGTTGCTTTTGGCTTTAAGTGAAATAAAGTTCACTCCGCTTTCTTTTTTATGCACTCGCGGCTATTATTTAATTTGCGCAGCTGGGCGTAAATGGGCGATGGAGATGGCGACGGGTTTGACATGACCGGCACGAAGGCTCTCGGAATGCCAGAGTTGAGCTTTCAGCGCCCAGCGTTTCTGCACTTCAGCATTTCATTATGGGCCACCTCATGCGATGCCATGGCGAATCATCGGATCCGAATGGGGCCCAAAGTGGTTGCTGGGCACGCAACTTTTGACCGAAACGAGAGCCCAAATATCGAATGGAAATGCAACGTTTTTGCAGATGTCAAAGTTGCCGCAGTGATTTTCAAAAACCAAGAAGGACAAGTCAAGGAGGCTGTCTGCGTCCGTCTGTCAGAGGAGCAACAACCGCAGTCGGACCGGGGGAAGTGCCAATCCCTGTGCTGCGAAATGTGGGCCAACAGGGACTGTCTAATCTGTAAGCATAAATTCCAATCATTTCGCAAATGGAATGTGCCGGCGCAATCCAATGAAACCGCAAAACACAACACAGCAGATGGTCGAGGCCGAGGAGCAGGACTCCGTCAAACTGCATGCGGTTCTCGGGATAAGTGGAATTTTTGGGCCCAACATTGATTTTGGCGCGTTCTCTGCATTGGACATACCCCTTTCCTTTTGGGGCTTTATTTCGATTGAACTTGTTCGTGTAAAAACTCCTTTGAGGCATTGTGGTTGGCCTAAAACTCAAGTGATCAAATTTGATCAAATAAACAACTCTTCAATCATAATAATCAGTGAAACGAACTCGCAGACAAAATAGCAAAAGAGGCAACGAAAATGCCACTAATATATACTCTCAACGAAAATATAAAAGACATTAATAAATTTCTCAAAAATCAACTAAAGCTAGAAAATGAAACCTTAATAAATAAATGCAACTCATGGTACAAAAACATTAACACTAACAACATCCACACATCAACACTCTCTAAGATAACTCAGGAAGAAATTAGCCGAATTGACCAAATTAAATTTATAAGACTTCGGTTAGGACACACAAACATAACACACAAACACCTCCTTGATCTCAATACTACACGAAACTGCCCCCTCTGCCAATCATCAACCCCCATAAACATGGAACACATCATAGACACATGCCCAGCAATCACACAGGACAAGCAACATATCTTTAAAAACCTACTAGCCACCGACTACCTAAAGAACCCTACATCAGAAAATATCAAAACAATTATATCTTTCCTAAAAAAAAACAATTTATACAACGAAATCTAAATCCAAAAATTAAAACTAAGAAATATTGTTAATTTAAGTTAACCTACAATAAAACGTAGTCGAAGGCCCCGCAGCTAGCACTACACCACCATATGTTAGTCTTAGTTTTGTAAACTTTACTATCATCTATAATAAATAAATAAATAAAATAAATCAGTGAGGGTCTTGTTTTATTAGGGCTTCCAGTAGACATGGCAAATTTTTTAAATAAACTTTCGTGACTATGTATCACTAGAATTGGCATTTTTATTCTCGAATCTCCAGCTCTCATAATTTCAGAAATCTCGACGATCAAACGTACAGACAGACGGACATGGCTAGATCGACTCGACTATAGATCCTGATCAAGAATACATATGTATATTTAATACAGACGGAAAGTCTTGCTTCTATCGGTTACATTTTTTTTCAGGAAAACCATTTTACTTTATGAATAACAGTTCTAAAAAATCAAATTTATTATAAAACAAGAAAGGAAAGCTAACTTCGGGCGGAGCCGAAGTTGAAATACCCTTGCAGAATATTCTGCAAATTATATTCTCCAAAATTATTCATATGATGCATTCTTAATACTCATAAAAAATCCCACCTTCCTAACTTTACAAACACCAAAGTTATGGCATTTCCAATCGTTCAGTTATATGGCAGTTACAGGATATAGTCGGCCGATCCATATGAAATTTGGTAGGTCGGATTAATTGGCCAAAAATAAAACCCATAGGAAATCCCAACTTTCTAACTTTACAAACACCAAAGTTATTTCATTTCCGATCAATCAGTTATATGGCAGCTATGGGATATAGTCGGCCGATCCTTATGAAATTTGATATGTCGGATTGATTGGGCAAAAATAAAACCCATAGAAAATCCCAACTTTCTAACTTAACAAACACCAAAGTTATGGCATTTCCGATCAATCAGTTATATGGCAGCTATAAGATATAGTCGGCCGATCCTTATGAAATTTGGTAGGTCGGATTAATTGGCCAAATATAAAACCCATAGAAAATCCCAACTTCCTAACTTAACAAACAGCAGAGTTATGGCATTTCCGATCAATCAGTTATATGGCAGCTATAGGATATAGTCGGCCGATCCCGGCCGTTCCGACTTATATACTGCGTGCAAAGGAAAGAAGGGTGTGTGCAAAGTTTGAATTCGATATCTTTAAAACTGAGAGACTAGTTTGCGTAGAAACAGACAGACGGACAGACGGACATGGCTATATCAACTCAGGAGGTGATCCTGATCAAGAATATATATACTTTATAGGGTCGGAGATGTCTCCTGTACTGCGTTGCACACTTTTGACCAAAATTATAATACCCTCTGCAAGGGTATAACAAGAAAGGAAGAAAACTTGGGCAAGACGAAGTTTATATACCCCTGCAGTTATTGCAAAACGACTACATTTTGATTTCTATTATTAAAAGCAATGAAGCTATGTCGACTTTGCGCTGCATTTTGCCATCGTTTCTATGGCAGCTAGATGATATTGTTGTCCGATTGACAAAACTAAAAGCCTAATTCTGATATAGTAAATAACTACTATATCTCAAAGGACGGACAGGCGGACGGAATACTTATACTTTATAGGGTCAGAAATGTCTTCTTCACTATGCTGCAAACTTTTGACTGAAATTATAATACCCTCTGCAAGGGTATAACAAGTCAAAATTGTAAAAGCGTATTAAATACTGACGCCAAAAATATACGAACAGATATAATAAAAGAATTACAAAATTGTTTATTGTTCCGGATCTCTATAGCACTTAACTTGTACTGTTTTAAAAATGCTTTGCTTTATGCTTCAGTGAAATTGACATCATATTTGTAGTTACTTTTGCCACACACATAACTCCACATTTTCAATCCTAAATATCTTACATAGAAACCGAAATAAAATAAAACAAATACAATGAACATAGGCCCAAGAAAATCAATAAGGACGACGTACAGAGGTACAAAGTTAAGACCATGTCGTCTTGATTACAATGATGAGCGCCTGTGGGAACTAAGTTATTTGAAGGTAAGCAAATCGATAACTCTTCAGCTTATTAATTTATTTTCTATAGGCCAAATGCAAGGAGCTACGTTTAGAGGAAGAGTATGAGCGTTATCAGGTCCGTCTGCTGATCAGTTATCTCACCGTATTCTACCTTCTGTTCATATTTGTGATGGGTAGCTTGTTCGTAACTCTACTACTTTTCGTCAGGGTGAGCGTTGAAGGATGATCAATTAATGTTTTTGTTTACATAAACTCTTTTGCAGCCCTTGGAGGTCATATACTTTGATTTGATCACCTGGTCCTTAGCGTTTTTGCTCGTTTTATCATTGTTGAGTATCAACTTGTTCGAACATTTTGTAAATCGGCACAGGTGGGTTATGGTTTTGAGCTCAGTTTTGGCGACATATGTTCTAGTATTCACTGGTAAGTCTGATGAAGTAAGCACCCGACCACTGTTTTACTTGGCTGTTTATCTTCAGACATTGCGCAGAACTCGTATCATCATTCCCAGAGAAGCTGGCCCCTAAACGCCTCCTTTGACGTATTCGTGCTCTGCATGATTTACATGTTCATGCCGATTCCCTCGATCATGGGAGCTGCCGTTCTAGCCACCTCGGTCAGCATTATTTACGTGGTCTACTTCCTGCACTTCCTCACGTTGAACCCGGGTTTCGCCCTCCGCGACTCGTTCGGCTACGATGTGATGTTTGTCGATATACTGCACTACTTGGGCTTCAACCTGATGGGCATATTCTTCCGCATCATGAACGACACCATGGTGCGCGCCTCCTTCCTGGATCGCCACCAGTTCATCATGGAGGAGACGTGGCTGCGCAACGCCCTGCTCCAGGAGTCGATGCTTGTGAACAGCATCCTGCCGCCCCAAATTGCCAAGCCCATCCAGGACAGCATCAAGAACAAGATCATCCAGGCTGAGACCGGCCCCGACCGCTTCCACCTGGGTGGCTCCCGCAGAAAGGAGAACTTCATGGCCATCCAGATCCACCCCGATGTCAGCATCCTCTACGCCGACGTGGTGAACTACACCCACCTGACCACCACCCTGACGGTGGAGGAACTGGTGAAGGTGCTCCACGACCTGTACGGCAGATTCGACATGGCTGCCTCCCATTTCCGGGTGCAGCGCATCAAGTTCCTGGGTGATTGCTACTATTGTGTGTCGGGCCTGGCCAGACCTGATCCCGATCACGCAAGTATGGCGGTGTCCCTGGGCCTTGCCATGATTGCGAACATCCAGGAGGTGCGGTATGTTGGACATCGAGAGCTGCAATTGGGTCTGGACTTGAGCTAATCCTCCGATCCACAGGGCGGAACGAGAATTGGATATCGACATGCGCATAGGGGTCCATTCGGGGTCTCTGCTGGCGGGAGTCATCGGAGAGGCCAAGCTGCAGTTCGACATTTGGGGTATGCCTTTCTTTGGAGGCACTTCCAATCTAATCCACCAATTTTTAGGTGTCGACGTGGACATCGCCAATCGCCTGGAGGCAACTGGAAAACCGGGCTTTGTGCACGTCAGTGGGCGGACTTTGAGTAACCTGAAGGCAACCGATTATGTAATAATGCAGAGCACAGAAAAGGCTCAAAATGATCCCATGCTGAAAGCCATGAGAACCTATCTAATTACCGGCATAAACCGCGATTCAATCCGAAGCATGGATGGAGTCCTCTCTGGGGCCAGTCTGGAAATTAAAACAATAGACAAGGAGCGGCCAACCATGGCCAATCGCATCTCAATGTCCGAAGAGTTGCGTGCGGAGTTCCGCAAAATGCCAGTTGGGGGCATAGAGTAAGTGATATTTTAGAACTCTCCTATAAAAGTGCTATTTTTAACATGAATCTCCAACATACTTTCACAGAGTTCTATTATATTAAATTCTTTCTTTAAAATATTTATATTTTGGTAATTTTTTAAGAAACATGTTTTTAAAATATTACTATATTTCTTCGTTTACCCAATTTCAAATTTTCCAAATCCCAACTTTCTGATAGTTATCTTGTAAATTGACAGTGTCTCATGTAAATTACGTACGTTTAAAATTTGTGTTTTGTGAGAAAATTTAAAAGCCCTGTATTCTAAATCTTAATAAATATTTGACTGAGCAAGCTTTATTTCATCACTAAACTATTTGATTTATAGTAATGTCTCAAATGTAAATGCACCTTCAAAAACCATTCATGCAATTTACTATAAAACTTTCTTTCTTACATTTTTAAAAATATTATAAAATGTTTAATTTGCGGAGGGTTTACCATTTTCGCCACAAAAGTTGTATACAACAAAGTTGTATACAAAATTTTGAATGACACGACCTTATTACATCCTAAAATAGTTTTGTTTGAAAACATAAAAAAAAAAAAAGACAACATTTTTATAAAAGCTTTTTAATCCTTTATATGATGTAGAAAAGGAGCGCATTGATTAGATTACTAACAATTTTTATTGTAGCTTCCGATTGCTGTGCTGCTGCCGCAAATCTCGTCGCGAGATTGATCAGAAAGGCCAAATAGGGATTTTTTGCGCAGCGTTCAAGGACTCATCTCTGGAATGGAATTATCTGCACCAGCCGGACTTTATTTTCAAGTCCTCAATGCTGCTGGCCTGGGGCATTGGGTGCTGCCTGATCTACATCCAGATCGTGACCAATAATTTTGTGTGCAAGGAATGCATTGTTGTCGACCTATTTGCGCTTTTCATACTGACCTTCATGCTGTGCATCGCGTGGTACAAAAAAGTGTGTTGGTGGAGAAATGGACGCGGTGAATCTACTATTTACGGCAAACACAGCTGCATGATATTTAAAATGTTTGAGAAGATACAGCACAGTGCGACTCTGCGCATTACCGCCTATTTGCTGATCATAGTGTGCTACTACGCCGTAATTTCCCTAATAATCGTGAGTTCTGAATAAATACTGAATATGTAAAAAATATTTTTAAAGTAGTTTTACAATTTTCATTATAAGTTAAAAGTGTTTTCTTTTAGGTTAACATTTACGTATCTATATAGGCATAATTTATCAAAATTATATAGTACTGTGTGTGCAGGCACTTATGAAGGCTCTAAGTGCACAAGAAATATTACTAACATTATTTTACACTTTCTTCTTTCTGTTGATATCCTGTCTTTTTGTATCAAATTTTAATCTAATTTGTATTGGTGCGTCCACTGACTCAAATAATACGATTTTTTACGAATCGACCTTTTATTCTCCAGTTAAACTGTGACCGCGACCAATATGAGCTAAGTTATATTGAGAGCAAGCTTTTTCACTACGAAATGGATCGGGATATATGCTTCCATCCGTGGGCCTTTACGAATATGATATCCCTGATTATTGGCATGAGTTACACCTTCGCGCGCATCCCGTTCGCACTCAAGATGGTTGTCAGTGGCTGCGAGACCATTGCCTTCGTCTTAATCGTGTTTTTCCAGTACGGGTTCGTTTTCCAGCATAGCGCCACCACCACTCCGTATTTAAAAGCGGAAATAGCGCACTGTTTCCGGGTTTGCATGATGCTGGTCACTTTGTATGCGAAGGAGCGGCAGGCGGAGTTCAACACCAAAATTAACTACAAGTAAGTAAAATTAATATAAGTAAATAAATTTCTTTTGACAAAGGCTCTCCCCAGACTCAACGTAGACTTGCATAAAAAGCAAAAAGCGGCCGATGTTACAAACCAATCAATTATAATTCTGCTGAATAACATTCTTCCTTCTCATGTTGGTCAGTTTTGTAGTGAATATTATCCCAAATGATTTAGCATGCTAATATAAAACTACCTTCCGCAGTCGACCTCTACCTCAACTCCATAGCAAACCACGAACTCTACTATGAAAATTATCAAATGGTTTCAGTCATGTTCGCCATGCTAATTAATTTTCAAATGGATTTGCCCAGCTTACGAGTTCTGAACGATATCATAACGGAGTTCGATAGACTGGTAAGTCAATGTAGTGAACATTTTTAATATTCACCTATCACTACCTTTCGATCGCAGTTGACTACCTACAAAGAATATTACGTGGTTGAGAAGATCAAAGTTGTGGGTTGCACATATATGGCAGCTTGTGGATTGGATTTTAACTTGGCTTCAAAAATCCGAAACAACAATGAATTTCGTAATAGTTCACTTCAGTTCGAATGTGAGTATTTAACCGCGATGAAAAAATTCTATCTGACCAATTTCTATACCCAAATACTATTCCAAAACGAGAAATAGACTTTATGGCCTTGTTTCCAAACTATGAGAGCTGTTACTTTGCAAGTTTCGACATATAAAATAATATTATATTATATTAAATTAACAATTTAGGTTAACATTTTACATTTTTATTCTAAGAAAGAAAAGAGTTTGTTTCATCATTTATAAATTTGTTTCTTAATTCCTTTCTCTTACTTAATTTAACCTTTTATAGTCATCTATGATTATATTAGTCATCCAATCTTCATTTCAGTGGAGCGGGTGCTCAATCACAGGTCGTCCGACGATAAAAACGAGATCGAAAACAACAACGATGAAGTAATCTTCATGATGACCACCTTCGCCCTGGACCTAATGCGAACCCTATCGGCGTGTAACAAGGCCTACTCGAATATTCACTTCGATCGGGCCCTGTCCAGTGGAGAGATCTGCATCGGCATCTCCAGTGGGGAGATAATGGCCGGAGTGGTTGGCGCTTCCCAGCCGCACTACGACATCTGGGGAAATCCGGTCAATATGGCCTCTCGGATGGAGTCGACGGGGCTGCCTGGACACATCCAGGTGACGGAGGAGTCGGCCAAAGTTCTCGAGGAGTTCGATATTAAGTGCATTTTCCGCGGCTTGACCTTTGTGAAGGGGCGCGGTGAAATTCCAACCTACTTTGTGGGCATCGATGAAAACTTAAAATTTATATCCTCGAAATTGGTCGATCGGACTTCATCTAGACGTTTTTCAGTTATGTCCTCACTAGATCCTGATGATCTAGAAGATGACTCGTCTATTGAGGAAGAGAAAAATGAGTAGCTCGACAAATTTTGGACTATTGTTTCAAAAATATATATTTAATACAAGTCGATAGAAACAGCTGCCACAATTGGTTAATAAAATTAAATACGTTAAGCCTAAATAAACTTATATTACACTATTCAAGGTCCACTAGAGTTCGATGGTAGGATAAGGTTGCATTTCAGTTCCGATCGTGTTTATATGTGCACAAGAATCCGATGGACTAGTGAAATGAATTAAGTATTTGTGACATAGATATCATTAAATTCCTTTGACAAATTTTGTAATAAATAGAAAATAGGCTTTATTTTCAATGCATCTTATATAAGGTTTGGGTCCAAAAGACGACTGATTCCAGTAATACACTGTTGGTTAACTTGGAAAAATGTCATTACACTGCACTTAAGTGGGGGTGAGGAAGCTTGGGAACAGCAGGTTTATAACGGATTACTACTTCCAAATAAAAGTGAAGCAAGACGTTTATAGATATGGTAAATAACAAAAAAAAAGGGACTTCTGTTTATTTATCGATGATTACAACGATGATAATCAAAACGTAATCGAAACGAGTTAATGGCCAAACGCAAATTTTCATTAGTTATGTATACCTCCTTAATGAGTATAATTTTCCATGAGCGCTTTGTAAAGCGTCACAGATGAGTTATGATGGTCACTCCAATTTGTCGGCGTATATTGTGGTATTTATTGGCAAGTCTGATAATATAAATACAGTAATATTTACATTTTCGACTGTGTTTAGATATAGCACAGAACACATAATTTTTACTAGCACCACAGGCCTCATTAATTCCTCGTACGACGTCTTTGTGCTCTGCATGATTTACATGTTTTGCCCGATTCCCTCTATCAGGGGAGCTGCGCTACTGGCCATCTCATTCAGCATTGTGTACGTGGTCTACTTCCTGCACTTTATAGCGTTTCACCAAAATAACAGCGTGCGAAATATTCATGGCTTCGATATGATATCCGTCGACATATTCCACTACCTGGGCTTTAACATGATGAGCATATTCTTCCGCATCGTGAACGACACCATGGTGCGCTTCTCCTTTTTGGACCGACACCAGTTCATCAAGGAAGAGTTGTGGCTTCGCCATGCCATGCGACAGGAATCGATGCTTGTGGACAGCATCCTGCCGCCTCAGATTGCGAAGCCCATCAAGAGTAGCATCAAGAACAGGATCATGCAAGCCGAAACTGAATTCGAACGCGTTAGCATGGGTGTTTCGCGAAGGTCGGAGAACTTCATGGCCATCCAGATTCATCCCGACGTCAGTATCCTCTACGCCGACGTGGTGAACTACACCCACCTGACCTTGACCCTGACTGTGAAGTTGGTGAAGGTGCTGGACGATTGCTGCTGTTGGCAATTGGTTCCAGCTGTAAGTTAATCCTCCGAGACTCAGGGCGGAACGGGGCTTGGATATCGTCATGTGCATAGGGGACCATTCGGGGACTTTGCTTGGAGGTGTCATGGGAGAGGCCAAGCTGCAGTTCGGCATTTGGTCTACGCCATTACTCGGGTGCAGTCCCAATCTAATCAATGAGTTTTCCGGTACTGATGACCACAAGTAACTTTAATAAAACCGACTATTTAACAATGCAGGGCACAGAAAAAGGCTTATAATAAGCACATATCTTCTTACCAGCGCAGTAATCCGCGATTCAGTCAAATCCACCGCCAAAGGCGTATTGGCATTGGGACCAATTTGGAACATCCAGATCGTCAGTTTGGTCTCAATGTCACAAGAGTTGCGCCTGTTGGGGGCTTGGTGTATGTTGTGTTTTAGTGTTTCATGTTGATTTTGTAAACTTTCTACTCTCCCTGTTTTGAACGAGTAACTTGAAAGGTTGCCTAGCATACTGAGTGTAAGACTTTTTCACAAAGCCTTCGGTTCGATCACAATCGCCTGCTTGCATTTAAGAAAATGTGTCGGTGGCGATATGGACAACATAACTTAAAATACAACAAATACAGCTTAAAGATTTGCCACCTGTTCAAGAAGATTCAGCACAGTTTTATCCTGCTCATTACTGTCTATATAATGACAATAGTATGATATCTCCTAGATATTGGTTAGAATTCTGGATCTGGACCAACCTCACCATGACAGTCGATCTAGACATGTTTTAAAGTTATCTAGTATAAACTTTATCCTATTACGCTAGGTTAAGTTCAGAAAGCACTGAACAGATTCCAGTGAATAAAATATTATTTAAAAAAAAAAAAATAAATAAACTTTATTCAAAATTGTTTCTCCTATTGCAAGTGGGAATGAGCCGGATCGTTCGAATAAACTCAGATGTATAGTAATTTTAGCATTAAAACAAGAAAGGAAAGCTAACTTTGGGCGGAGTTGAAGTTAATATACCCTTGCAGAATATTCTGTAAATTATATTGGTTGGCCCAAAATAAAACCAATAAAAATCGTCAGTATCACCTTTTTCCCAATTCGCGTATGACGTTGTCGGCATAGACTAAAAATCTATGTACATAGAGGATTCATTTGCTCTGCCCGCACCTCTGCCAAAGCTCTGTTGAGAGCCATGTTCGAAGCTAACTGCACTTAAGAAACCGAAGTTAGCTTCGAACATGGCTCTAAGCAGAGCGTTGGCAGAGGTGCGGGCAGAGCAAATGAAACGGCTTATTTGACCCACCTTGTATATTCAAATTTAAGTGAGAATAACTTATTTAATTAAAACCGTAATTCCATAGTATTTAAATATTACCAAATCCGAAAGAACAAGAAATATTTTGATAAATAAAAAAACAGCAAAATAAATTTATTTTTCATATTTATATTTTTTAATTTCTTGGGAGCTATATGATATAGATGTCCGATTTTAATTTAATTCCATATTACTTAATATTACCAAATTCCAAAGAACACAGGCGGTTTGAGCGTAGAGGTTTTTTGAATCTTATGAAAACTGCAGTTAAATAGGTTTTATAAAACAAGGGCAAGGAAAGAGAAGGAGCGAAACAAACGCATAAATTAGTATTTGGTATGTTTTTTATTTATTATTTATCATAAAAATACAATTTCTGTCCCATTCGTACGCATAGGGAAATATGACTATTCAGCAGCACTGCTGTCTCAATAAATGGGCTTACCTGAAATAGGATAAGGGCTTACAAAACTTCTTAATAAATTACATTTCTAATTTTGTGCAAGCCATAATGCAATCAAATTCCATCTAAAAAGTATAAAGTAGGCGTTTAAAAACTTGGACAGAAAACAGGCTAAGTCCTGATACTCATCATTAATTTTAAACTATCGTACACTAGCAAATTTATCCGGGAAATATGAATCACACAAGAACAACTAAACAGCCCTACAGAGAGAGGTTTAGGCCATGTCTTCTGGACTACACTGATGAGCGCCTGTGGGAGCAGAGCTATCTAAGGGTAATCTAATCTACAAACAAGTTCCCACAGTTACTAAATGCAGTATTCGCAGGCTAAATGTAAGGAGTTGAATTTGGAGAAGGAGTATAAAAAGTATCAGGTCCGTCTGTTGATCAGTTACCTCACCGTTTTCTTCCCCTTATTTATAATAGTGATGGTATGCTTTGAATTAGTCGCATTCATTAGTGTCGAGGTGAGAGTTCAGTCGAAAGTTTGACTTTTCCAGCTAAATAAACTTCTATGCAGTATACGCAAATCCACTACATGGATTTTCTCTTTAATGGGATGACATTACTTTTGGTTATTTCCTTAATGAGTATAAATTTCTATGAGAGCTTTGTGAGTCGGCACAGATGGGTTATGGTGGTCACATCGGTCTTGTCGGCGTATATTGTGGTTTTTTTTGGTAAGTTTGATAAATAACACACAAGAATATGTACATTTTTTTTTTATATCTTCAGATATAGTACAGAACACCTATCACTATTACTATCACGGCTGGTCGCTCAATTCCTCGTTTGACGTCTTTGTGCTCTGCATGATTTACATGTTTTTGCCGATTCCCTCGATCAGGGGAGCTGCGTTACTGGCCACCTCAGTCAGCATTGCATACGTGGTCTACTTTCTGCATTTTTTAGCGCTTGACAATAATCAGACCGTGCGAGATATTCATGGCTTCGATGTGATATCAGTCGACATATTCCACTATCTGGGCTTTAACATGATGGGGATATTCTTCCGCATCATGAACGACACCATTGTGCGCGCCTCCTTCCTGGACCGACACCAGTTCATCAAGGAGGAGATGTGGCTTCGCCAAGCTCTGCGACAGGAATCGATGCTTGTGGACAGCATCCTGCCGCCTCAGATTGCGAAGCCCATCAAGAATAGCATCAAGAACAAGATCATGCAGGCCGAAATCGAGTTTGAACGCTTTAGCATGGGTGTTTCGCGAAGGTCGGAGAACTTCATGGCCATTCAGATACATCCGGATGTCACCATCCTCTACGCCGACGTGGTGAACTACACACACCTGACCACGACCCTGACTGTGGATAAGTTGGTGAAGGTACTGCACGACCTCTACGGAAGATTCGATGTGGCTGCCTCCCAATTCAAAGTGCAGCGCATCAAGTTCCTGGGCGACTGCTACTACTGTGTGGCGGGTCTGGCGGAACCTGACCCCGATCACGCCAAGATGGCGGTGTCCCTGGGCATTTCCATGATTGCCAACATCCAGGAAGTGAGGTATGTTGTTCATGTACAGCTGCAATTGGTTCTAGTTGCGAGCTTATCCTTCGTTTCACAGGGCGGAACGGGGCTTGGATATCGACATGCGCATAGGGGTCCATTCGGGGTCTTTGCTTGGAGGTGTCATGGGAGAGGCCAAGCTACAGTTCGACATATGGGGTATGCCAATCCTCGAAGGCACTTCCAATCTAATTAATGCCTTTTCAGGTGCTGACGTGGACATCGCCAGTCGTCTGGAAGCAACCGGAAAACCGGGCTATGTGCACGTTAGTGGACGGACCCTAAGTAACTTGAATACAGGCGACTATATAATAATGCAGGGCACAGAAAAGGCTCAAAAAGATCCAGTGCTGCAGAAGCATCCAATGAGCACCTATCTTCTTACCAGCGCAGTACACCCTAATATAAGCAAATCCATTGCAGTGCAAACCCGTTCGAATCTTATCTTTCAGACATTGGGACAAAATCGGAAAACACAGATGGGCGGTTCGCTTTCAATGCAAGATAAGTTGCGCGAGGAGTTTGAGAAGATGCCAGTTGGGGGCTTGGAGTAAGTGGTGGTTGACTTTCATTCTCCCTGTTTTGAACGAGTAACTTGAAAGCATACTGAGGGTAATACTTTTCCACACAGCTTTGGTTCCTTATGCTGTCGCCGAAAAAGCAATGACAGAGAAGATAAAACTGCGCGCCAACTTGGCATTTTTTGTGTAGCGTTCAGGGACTCATCTCTGGAATGGAGCTATCTGGAACAGCCGGACCTCATTTTCAAGTCCTCAATGCTTCTGGCCTGGGGCATTGGGTGCTGCCTGATCTACATCCAGGTCGTGACCAACAAGATTATCTGCACCACATGCATTGTGATCGACCTGCTTGCGTTTTCCCTGCTGACCACCCTTGTGTGCATCGCGTGGTATAAGAAATTGTGTTGGTGGCGATATGGACAGGAGTTCAAAAAATTCAACAGTTGGAGCTGCAAGATTTTCCACCTGTTCGAGAAGATTCAGCACAGTTTTGTCCTGCGCATCACTGTGTATATAATGATAATAGTATCTTATTACATGGTGATCCTTTTGATATTGGTAAGTTTTGAAATAACCCCATCTAGTGTGTATATTCTTGAACAGAATTACCAGGAGAGTTGATCTAGCCATGTTTGTCCGTATCTAGATGAAACTTCTTAAAATTATATCATTCAAATTTTAATGAAGAAGCTTTGGCGCCCAGAATAATTAATACAAACTAAGAGTGTTTGTTGCTAAATATTCAGACCTTTTTATACCCTTGCAGAGGGTATTATAATTTTGGTCAAAAGTGTGCAACGCAGTGAAGGAGACATCTCCGACCCTATAAAGTATATATATTCTTGATCAGGATCACCTCCTGAGTTGATATAGCCATGTCCGTCTGTCCGTCTGTCCGTCTGTCCGTCTGTCTGTCCGTCTGTCTGTCCGTCTGTCTGTCCGTCTGTCTGTTTCTACGCGAACTAGTCTCTCAGTTTTAAAGATATCGAATTGAAACTTTGCACACACCCTTCTTTCCTTTGCACGCAGTATATAAGTCGGAATGGCCGGGATCGGCCGACTATATCCTATAGCTGCCATATAACTGAACGATCGGAAATGCCATAACTTTGGTGTTTGTAAAGTTAGGAAGTTGGGATTTTCTATGGGTTTTATATTTGGCCAATCAATCCGACTTACCAAATTTCATAAGGATCGGCCGACTATATCCTATAGCTGTCATATAACTGATTGATCGGAAATGCCATAACTCTGCTGTTTGTTAAGTTAGGAAGTTGGGACTTTCTATGGGTTTTATATTTGGCCAATCAATCCGACTTACCAAATTTCATAAGGATCGGCCGACTATATCCTATAGCTGTCATATAACTGATTGATCGGAAATGCCATAACTCTGCTGTTTGTTAAGTTAGGAAGTTGGGACTTTCTATGGGTTTTTTATTTGGCCAATTAATCCGACCTACAAAATTTCATAAGGATCGGCCGACTATATCCTATAGCTGCCATATAACTGAACGATTGGAAAAGCCATAACTTTGATGTTTTTAAAGTTAGGAAGTTGGGTTTTTTTTTTGAGTATTAAGAATGCATCATATGAATAATTTTGGAGAATATAATTAACAGAGTATTCTGCAAGGGTATATCAACTTCGGCTCCGCCCGAAGTTAGCTTTCCTTTCTTGTTTTTAACTCTGTTCATTTGTTTTTAAATGGCCAGATAAACTGTGATCAAAACGAATACCAGATAGATTTCATTGAGAGCAAACTATTTCGCTATGAAATGGATCAAGAAAGCTGCTTCCATCCGTGGGCCTTCACGAACATGATGGCTCTAATCCTTGGCATGAGCTACACCTTCGCACGCATTCCGTTCGCCCTCAAGACAATCATCGGCTGCTGTGAGGCAGTGGCTTACCTGCTGATCGTGTGTTTCCAGTACGTGTTCCTTTTCCAGCACAGTGCCACCACGACACCGTATTTGAGGGCGGAAATAGCTCATTGTATTCGGGTGTGCATGATGCTGATTACCATGTACACAAAGGAACGTCAGACGGAATTCAACACAAAAATGAACTACAAGTAAGTCCTTATTATAAATGGACTCTTTGGTCAACCCCAACTACTAATGATTCCTGACAACCACCTAAATCTTTTTGTTCGTAGGCTCAACGTGGATTTGCAAAAAAAGCAAAAGGCGGCCGATGTAACCAACCAGTCAATTATAATTCTTCTAAATAACATTCTTCCTTCTCATGTTGGTCAGTATTTGACTTAATATCACTCCAAGGTATCCAATAAAACCAGGATTGTTTTTTTGTATTCCGCAGTCGAGCTCTATCTCAATTCAGTAGCCAACCACGACCTCTACTATGAAAATTATCGAATGGTATCTGTCATGTTCGCAATGTTAATAAATTTTCAAATGGATTTGCCCAGCTTACGAGTGCTAAACGATATTATAACGGAGTTCGATAGATTGGTAAGATGAATTAATAAGTCTGTTTAATATTCTCATATCCCATTCTTCCCATCTCAGCTGACTTCCTATAAGGATTATTACTCGGTTGAGAAAATCAAGGTCGTTGGTTGCACTTATATGGCAGCTTGTGGATTAGATTATAACCTGGCCTCCAAAATTCGAAACACTGATCTTCGCAGTAGCTCATACCAATGTGAAAGTTAGTACTGATAAGGGGTAAATTCACCCTTCTCTTTTAAACGCATACTTGTCTATTCTATATCTTAAAGGTTAATATTCAACTTTCTAAGAGCTTTCTTGAAGAGTAAAACATTAGCTAAGAAAAATAGAAAAAATCTCTATAGTCGTATTCCCTGACTGTAAAATGGCCGTAACTCCCAACCTTGTTATTGAAAATGTTCTTTTGGAGTTTATTACACTTAGCTTAAGTACAAATCGTGCTTAATAAAGGGATATTTTTTAGTTAAATAAATTCAGTATTAAGCCAAGTATATTTTACGATACTAGATCTTTAAAGAATTTTTATTTTCTGGAGTTCATTGTTAAATATATGTACAAGTTAAGTATAAAAACAATTATTATTTAAAACGTTTAAATGGCTATTACGCTTTGTCTACATAAGTCATTTAATTTTTCTTTCAGTGGATCGGGTGCGGAGTCGACAGGCGTCAATGGCAGCCCACATTGACGCCAACCTTCACAAGAACCAAGAGGTGATCTTTATGATGACCACGTTCGGCCTGGACCTGATGCGAACCCTGTCGGTGTGCAATAAGGCGTACGCGGGTAGACCCTTCGATCGGGCTTTATCGACTGGCGAAATCTGCATCGGCATCTCCAGTGGCGAGATAATGGCCGGAGTGGTTGGCGCTTCCCAGCCGCACTACGACATCTGGGGAACACCTGTCAATATGGCCTCTCGGATGGAGTCGACGGGGCTGCCTGGACACATCCAGGTGACGGAGGAGTCCGCCAAAGTTCTCGAGGAGTTTGACATTACGTGCATTTACCGTGGCTTAACCTTTGTGAAGGGCCGTGGAAAAATACCAACCTACTTTGTGGGCATCGATGATAACTTACAGTTTATTTCCAGAAGGAGCTGCGAGGCTTCTTCAAGTAGCTCACCAGATAACCTTTATCCGTATCTGTACGATAAAAAAGATGGATAAAAACCCTTTGTTGAAAAATTTTAAGTCTCTTGATGAAAAACACGTATCAAGATTTCATATTGTAAGTTTTGCATCTTAAATTTAAAGTTTATATGTGTTTGATGAAAATTTGAGATACGGGGCCTTACAAAAGAAACTTAAAAATCTGTTCCATATTACCATTGAAAAAAAAAATATATTTTAAATAATAAAAATGTTGTTTAAAATTCATTCCAAGCGGGAACATTGGTAAGCGAAACAACCACTAATGCAAGACCAAATTCCGGTCATAAGGACGCACGACTTTGTAGGAGTAAAGGACGAACAATAATTAAGGATCTCTTTAGCTGCATCTTGAATTATCTGGTAGGACACAAAACGTGCTATTTAAATATTCTCTTGCTTAAGTTCTCCGATTTATTACCTTTCCTTTGTTATAAGTCATTCTCGTGTACGCAGGTGATATTATTTTTAGCCCGCATATTTAGACTTGTCATTTAGACTTGCAATCCGATCTAGATAACTTTCAAAACTGGTGCCACGATAATTTACTAAGATTTTCATTTGTTTCATCGAACTGGAATCGAGTCCCGTGGTGAATACTTATTGCTGCACTGGTCGCTCTTATTGTTAAGGGCTGGTGCCAGAACTCACCATACTATTGCTGTTGCTTCGCACATGTTCGATCTGGAGAGAAATCACAGTTTGGATCGAACATGGCTCTCAGCAGAGGCTTGGCAGAGGTTCGGGCAGAGCAAATGAATCCTCTATATAGATATCTATTGCTCAAGGTTAAGGACAAGAACACCATCTCATATAGCCGACAAGGACCAGCTGGACCTGGGTTCCGGACAGAAGTATGTATTTAGTTCGGCCCCTCTTCAGATTGGTAGACCTCCCAGTCCCCAAATTAAAACGAGCAAAAACTTTCTAAAAGCTTTTTTGAACAGTAAAACATTAAATAAGAACAAGAAAGGAAAGCTAACTTCGGGCGGAGCCAAAGTTGATATACCCTTGCAGAATACTCTGTAAATTATATTCTCCAAAATGATTCATATGATGCATTCTTAATACTCATAAAAAACCCCAACTTCCTAACTTTAAAAACACCAAAGTTATGGCATTTCCAATCGTTCAGTTATATGGCAGCTATAGGATATAGTCGGCCGATCCTTATGAAATTTGATAGGTCGGATTGATTGGCCAAAAATAAAACTCATAGAAAATCCCAACTTCCTAACTTAACAAACACCAAAGTTATGGCATTTCCGATCAATCAGATATATGGCGGCTATAGGATATAGTCGGCCGATCCTTATGAAATTTGGTAGGTCGGATTGATTGGCCAAATATAAAACCCATAGAAAATCCCAACTTCCTAACTTAACAAACACCAAAGTTATGGCATTTCCGATCAATCAGTTATATGGCAGCTATAGGATATAGTCGGCCGATCCCGGCCGTTCCGACATATATACTGCGTGCAAAGGAAAGAAGGGTGTGTGCAAAGTTTCAATTCGATTGCTTTAAAACTGAGAGACTAGTTTGCGTAGAAACAGACAGACGGATAGACGGACAGACAGACGGACAGACGGACATGGGTATATCAACTCAGGAGGTGATCCTGATCAAGAATATATTTACTTTATAGGGTCGGAGATGTCTCCTTCACTGCGTTGCACACTTTTCACCAAAATTATAATACCCTCTGCAAGGGTATAAAAATAGAAAATAAATCTATAGCCGAATTCCGTGACAGGAAAAAGCCCGAAAATCTCAATCTTGGTACAAAAATAGTTTCTTTTTTCGTGGAAAATGCAATAAAATTTCCTTTAAAAAGTAGGCGTTTAAAAACTTAAGCACCAAACAGGCTTAGTCCTGGCACTCATCATAAATTTTAAACTATCGTACACTAGGTAACTTCTCCGGGAAATATGAACTACAAAAAAACAAATAAACAGCCCTACAGAGAGAGGTTTAGGCAATGTCTTCTGGACTACACTGATGAGCGCCTGTGGGAGCAGAGCTATCTAAAGGTAATCAAATCGACAAACAAGTTCACTCAGTTACTAAATGCAGTATTCGCAGGCTAAATGTAAGGAGTTGAATTTAGAGAATGAGTATAAAAGGTATCAGCTCCGTCTATGGATCAGTTACCTCACCGTTTTCTTCCCCTTGTTTATAATAGTGATCGTAGGCATTGAATTAGTCGCACTTACTTTCGTCCAGGTGAGAGTTCAGTTGAAAGTTTGACTTTTTCAGCCAAATAAACTTCTATGCAGTATAGGGGAGTTCACTACATGGATTTTTTCTTTAATGGGATGACATTACTTATGGTTACTTCCTTAATGAGTATAAATTTCTATGAGAGCTTTGTGAGTCGGCACAGATGGGTTATGGTGGTCACATCGGTTTTGTCGGCGTATACAGTGGTTTTTTTTGGTAAGCCCGATAAATTAAATACAAGAATATTTACATTTTTTAACTATCTTCAGATATAGCGCAGAACACCTATTATTTTTACAATCACGGCTGGCCGCTTAATTCTTCGTATGACGTCTTTGTGCTTTGTATGATTTACATGTTTTTGCCGATTCCATCGATCAGGGGAGCTGCCCTACTAGCCACCTCAGTCAGCATGGTGTACGTGGCCTACTTTCTGCACTTTATAGCGTTTGACCAAAATAACAAGGTGCGAAGTATTCATGGCTTGGATGTGATATCCGTCGATATATTCCACTACCTGGGCTTTAACATGATGGGCATATTCTTCCGCATCATGAATGACACCATGGTGCGCTCCTCTTTCTTGGACCGACACCAGTTTATCAAGGAGGAGATGTGGCTTCGCCACGCCCTGCGACAGGAATCGATGCTTGTGGACAGCATCCTGCCGCCTCAGATTGCGAAGCCCATCAAGAATAGCATCAAGAACAAGATCATGCAGGCCGAAATCGAGTTTGAACGCTTTAGCATGGGTGTTTCGAGAAGGTCGGAGAACTTCATGGCCATTCAGATACATCCGGATGTCACCATCCTCTACGCCGACGTGGTGAACTACACCCACCTGACCACGACCCTGACTGTGGAGAAGTTGGTGAAGGTACTGCACGACCTCTACGGAAGATTCGATGTGGCTGCCTCCCAATTTAAGGTGCAGCGCATCAAGTTCCTGGGCGACTGCTACTACTGTGTGGCGGGTCTGGCGGAACCTGACCCCGATCACGCCAAGATGGCGGTGTCCCTGGGCATTTCCATGATTGCCAACATCCAGGAAGTGAGGTATGTTGTTCATTTACAGCTGCAATTGGTTCTAGTTGCGAGCTTATCCTTCGTTTCACAGGGCGGAACGGGGCTTGGATATCGACATGCGCATAGGGGTCCATTCGGGGTCTTTGCTTGGAGGTGTCATGGGAGAGGCCAAGCTACAGTTCGACATATGGGGTATGCCAATCCTCGAAGGCACTTCCAATCTAATTAATGCCTTTTCAGGTGCTGACGTGGACATCGCCAGTCGTCTGGAAGCAACCGGAAAACCGGGCTATGTGCACGTTAGTGGACGGACCCTAAGTAACTTGAATACAGGCGACTATATAATAATGCAGGGCACAGAAAAGGCTCAAAAAGATCCAGTGCTGCAGAAGCATCCAATGAGCACCTATCTTCTAACCAGCGCAGAAATCCGAGATTCCGTCAAATCCACCGCCAAAGGAGGGCAGGCCCGTGCGAATCTTAACATTCACACATTGGGACCAAATCGGAACACCCATATCGGCAGTTTGGATTCAGTGTCAGATGAGTTGCGCGGGGAGTTTGACAAGATGCCAGTTGGGGGCTTGGAGTAAGTGGTGTTTTAGCGGTTAATGTTGATTTTGTAAACCTTCCACTCTCCCTGTTTTGAACGATTTACTTAAGAGCATACTGAGCCTAATACTTTTTCATACAGCTTTCGAATCTTATGCTGCCGCCGAGATAAAATTGACAGAGATGAGGAAGCTAAGCGCCAACTCGGCAATTTTTGTGTAGCGTTCAGGGACTCATCTCTGGAATGGAGCTATCTGGAACAGCCGGACTTCATTTTCAAGTCCTCAATGCTTCTGGCCTGGGGCATTGGGTGCTGCCTGATCTACATCCAGGTCGTGACCAACAAGATTATCTGCACCACATGCATTGTGATCGACCTATTTGCGTTCTCCCTGCTGACCGCCCTTCTTTGCATCTCGTGGTATAAGAAATTGTGTTGGTGGCGATATGGAGAAAATGATTTCAAAGATTACAACGAATTCAGCTGTAAGATTTTCCACCTGTTCGAGAAGATTCAGCACAGTTTTGTCCTGCGCATTACTGTCTATATAATGATAATAGTATGCTATTACATGGTGATCTTTCTAATATTGGTGAGTAATGAAATGACCCTATAAAGTGTACATATTCTTGAGCAGCATCACCAGGAGAGTCGATCTAGCCATGCCTGTTCTTCCTACTGCAGGTAGTATATAAAACGAAACGGGAAGAATCGTTCGACTATATCATATTGCTCCCATAGGAACACAGTTTTTAAATATATATAGAGATATAGTTATTCTTACATTTTCAGAAAAAGGTTTCACTTACATATATCAAAACCCGTCAACTATAAAGTTATAGGAAAATTTATAGGAAAGTCGACATAGCTTTAACATATAAACTTAAGAACCAAATATAGTATTTTTAAAATTGGTAATTCTAATTTTAATGCAGAAGGTTTTTTTGGCGTCTTTTAACGCCCAGGATAATTAATACAAGCAGTCATAGTTAAAATAATATGTTAAGTAATCTTAAACTCTGTTTTTCTATTTAAAAAAAATTACCAGATAAACTGTGACCAAAGCCAATATGAGCTGGACTTCATTGAGAGCAAACTCTTTCACTATGAAATGGATCGGGACAGCTGCTTCCATCCGTGGGCCTTCACGAACATGATGGCACTTGTCATTGGCATGAGCTACACCTTCGCACGAATTCCTTTCGCCCTCAAGACAATCATCGGCTGCTGCGAGGCTGTGGTCTACCTGCTCATCGTGAGTTTTCAGTACGTTTTCATTTTCCAGCACAGTTCCACAACGACACCGTATTTGAGGGCGGAAATAGCTCATTGTACTCGGGTGTGCATGATGCTGATTACCATGTACGCCAAGGAGCGTCAGTCGGAGTTCAACACAAAAATGAACTACAAGTAAGTCTCTATTATAAATGGACTCTGGGGTCAACCCCAACTGTTAATGATTCCTAAAATCACCAACCTTTTTTGGCTGTTCGCAGGCTCAACGTGGATTTGCAAAAAAAGCAAAAGGCGGCCGATGTAACCAACCAGTCAATTATAATTCTTCTAAATAACATTCTTCCTTCTCATGTTGGTCAGTATTTGACTTAATATCACTCCAAGGTATTCAATAAAACCAGGATTGTTTTTTTGTATTCCGCAGTCGAGCTCTATCTCAATTCAGTAGCCAACCACGAACTCTACTATGAAAATTATCGAATGGTATCTGTCATGTTCGCAATGTTAATAAATTTTCAAATGGATTTGCCCAGCTTACGAGTGCTAAACGATATTATAACAGAGTTCGATAGATTGGTAGGATGAATTAATAAGTCCTTTTAATATTCTCATATCCCATTCTTCTCATCTCAGCTGACTTCCTATAAGGATTATTACTCGGTTGAGAAAATCAAGGTCGTTGGTTGCACTTATATGGCAGCTTGTGGATTAGATTATAACCTGGCCTCCAAAATTCGAAACACTGATCTTCGCAGTAGCTCATACCAATGTGAAAGTTAGTACTGATAAGGGGAAAATTTGCCCTTCTCTTTAAAACGAGTTTCGAGTTTACTATTGATTTAATTTTAAAAACCAGTATAGCATATATGCCTTAAAATAATTATAAGCAATATGCAATACACATAAGTGCAAATTATTGGAATTGTTTTTAAGTTATAAAAAAAAACGATTATTACATAGATTTATTCAATTTTTCTTTCAGTGGATCGGGTGCGGAGTCGACAAACGTCGATGTCAATCGACTTTGACGCCAACAGGAACCAAGAGGTGATCTTTATGATGACCACGTTCGGCCTGGACCTGATGCGAACTCTGTCGGTGTGCAATAAGGCGTACGCAGGTAGACCCTTCGATCGGGCTTTATCGACCGGGGAGATCTGCATCGGCATCTCCAGTGGCGAGATAATGGCTGGAGTGGTTGGCGCTTCCCAACCGCACTACGACATCTGGGGAAATCCGGTCAATATGGCCTCTCGGATGGAGTCGACGGGGCTGCCTGGACACATCCAGGTGACGGAGGAGTCCGCCAAAGTTCTCGAGGAGTTCGACATTATGTGCTTTTACCGCGGCTTAACCTTTGTGAAGGGCCGTGGAGAAATACCAACCTACTTTGTGGGCATCGATGATAATTTACAGTTCATTTCCAGGAGGAGCTACCTACCTTCTTTAAGTCACTCGCGAGATAGCGTATCTATTTAGTACGATGAAAAAGAAAAAATTTAAGTCTCTTAATAAGAAATACGTATCTAGATTTCATTTTGCAAGATCGTATCGTCAATTTGAAGTTTCTATATGTAGGATGGACGAATTGAGATACGGGACTTTACAAAATGAATTCAAGAAACGTATCTCTTTCTATACCATTGGAAAATATATTTATTTTTTTGAAATAATTAAAAATGATGTTTTAAAATTATTTTCATACATGGAACGATTATAGAGGGGATCAGATGTTTTAGCAATTAAATAAGCTTAGTTTTCTATCAGTTTGGCTAATAAGCTTTGGGATTTCCTTTTTTTAGGGAAATCTCTTTTTTTACTCCCTTGGTTTACCAGTATATACAACAAGGGCTAACAAATGAAGGCGAGCTTTTCGTAATAACAAGGGCACGATATTTTTAGAGAATCAAATCACAATTCTTTAGAGGTATGCCACTTTGGAATCGGCTTAGGTTTGGTAAAGTTATGGACTCTCGACGTCCAATTTTTAGTCACATTTTTACAAGACATCGGAAAATTAGAAATAACTGACATGAAAATGGGTCAAAAATTTGATCGACGTTAAATTGAAAAATTTTAATGCAGATTTTTAGAGAATTGAATCACCATTCTATGTCACTTTGGAATCGTCTTAAATTTGGTAAAGTTATGGACTCTCGAATAATTATTATGAAATTTATGGCTTAAAAATTATACCCCGCTAAAGTAGGCATTGAGAACAATGTTCAGTTAATTTAGTTGAGTTGCACAGTCTAGTCATTCGAAGTCAGAGGCTGGATCAGTTTACGAAAATAAAGCAATATGCCCCCTTTTGGAGGAAAGTGCCAGCTCAACTACACGCGGGAGCGCATGTGGGAACCGGGCTACCTTAAGGTAAAATGTAGTTTGGCTTTACTTCAAATAAAATAAATGCAATTCCCAGGCCAAGTGTGCAGAGTTGCACTTGGAGGACGAGTTCCGATTGTATCGGATACGCCTTTGGAAAAGTTATTTATGCGTATTCGTCGATGGAGTCGACGGGGCTGCCTGGACACATCCAGGTGACGGAGGAGTCCGCCAAAGTTCTCGAGGAGTTTGACATTACGTGCATTTACCGTGGCTTAACCTTTGTGAAGGGCCGTGGAAAAATACCAACCTACTTTGTGGGCATCGATGATAACTTACAGTTTATTTCCAGAAGGAGCTGCGAGGCTTCTTCAAGTAGCTCACCAGATAACCTTTATCCGTATCTGTACGATAAAAAAGATGGATAAAAACCCTTTGTTGAAAAATTTTAAGTCTCTTGATGAAAAACACGTATCAAGATTTCATATTGTAAGTTTTGCATCTTAAATTTAAAGTTTATATGTGTTTGATGAAAATTTGAGATACGGGGCCTTACAAAAGAAACTTAAAAATCTGTTCCATATTACCATTGAAAAAAAAAATATATTTTAAATAATAAAAATGTTGTTTAAAATTCATTCCAAGCGGGAACATTGGTAAGCGAAACAACCACTAATGCAAGACCAAATTCCGGTCATAAGGACGCACGACTTTGTAGGAGTAAAGGACGAACAATAATTAAGGATCTCTTTAGCTGCATCTTGAATTATCTGGTAGGACACAAAACGTGCTATTTAAATATTCTCTTGCTTAAGTTCTCCGATTTATTACCTTTCCTTTGTTATAAGTCATTCTCGTGTACGCAGGTGATATTATTTTTAGCCCGCATATTTAGACTTGTCATTTAGACTTGCAATCCGATCTAGATAACTTTCAAAACTGGTGCCACGATAATTTACTAAGATTTTCATTTGTTTCATCGAACTGGAATCGAGTCCCGTGGTGAATACTTATTGCTGCACTGGTCGCTCTTATTGTTAAGGGCTGGTGCCAGAACTCACCATACTATTGCTGTTGCTTCGCACATGTTCGCATTCTTCCGCATCATGAATGACACCATGGTGCGCTCCTCTTTCTTGGACCGACACCAGTTTATCAAGGAGGAGATGTGGCTTCGCCACGCCCTGCGACAGGAATCGATGCTTGTGGACAGCATCCTGCCGCCTCAGATTGCGAAGCCCATCAAGAATAGCATCAAGAACAAGATCATGCAGGCCGAAATCGAGTTTGAACGCTTTAGCATGGGTGTTTCGAGAAGGTCGGAGAACTTCATGGCCATTCAGATACATCCGGATGTCACCATCCTCTACGCCGACGTGGTGAACTACACCCACCTGACCACGACCCTGACTGTGGAGAAGTTGGTGAAGGTACTGCACGACCTCTACGGAAGATTCGATGTGGCTGCCTCCCAATTTAAGGTGCAGCGCATCAAGTTCCTGGGCGACTGCTACTACTGTGTGGCGGGTCTGGCGGAACCTGACCCCGATCACGCCAAGATGGCGGTGTCCCTGGGCATTTCCATGATTGCCAACATCCAGGAAGTGAGGTATGTTGTTCATTTACAGCTGCAATTGGTTCTAGTTGCGAGCTTATCCTTCGTTTCACAGGGCGGAACGGGGCTTGGATATCGACATGCGCATAGGGGTCCATTCGGGGTCTTTGCTTGGAGGTGTCATGGGAGAGGCCAAGCTACAGTTCGACATATGGGGTATGCCAATCCTCGAAGGCACTTCCAATCTAATTAATGCCTTTTCAGGTGCTGACGTGGACATCGCCAGTCGTCTGGAAGCAACCGGAAAACCGGGCTATGTGCACGTTAGTGGACGGACCCTAAGTAACTTGAATACAGGCGACTATATAATAATGCAGGGCACAGAAAAGGCTCAAAAAGATCCAGTGCTGCAGAAGCATCCAATGAGCACCTATCTTCTAACCAGCGCAGAAATCCGAGATTCCGTCAAATCCACCGCCAAAGGAGGGCAGGCCCGTGCGAATCTTAACATTCACACATTGGGACCAAATCGGAACACCCATATCGGCAGTTTGGATTCAGTGTCAGATGAGTTGCGCGGGGAGTTTGACAAGATGCCAGTTGGGGGCTTGGAGTAAGTGGTGTTTTAGCGGTTAATGTTGATTTTGTAAACCTTCCACTCTCCCTGTTTTGAACGATTTACTTAAGAGCATACTGAGCCTAATACTTTTTCATACAGCTTTCGAATCTTATGCTGCCGCCGAGATAAAATTGACAGAGATGAGGAAGCTAAGCGCCAACTCGGCAATTTTTGTGTAGCGTTCAGGGACTCATCTCTGGAATGGAGCTATCTGGAACAGCCGGACTTCATTTTCAAGTCCTCAATGCTTCTGGCCTGGGGCATTGGGTGCTGCCTGATCTACATCCAGGTCGTGACCAACAAGATTATCTGCACCACATGCATTGTGATCGACCTATTTGCGTTCTCCCTGCTGACCGCCCTTCTTTGCATCTCGTGGTATAAGAAATTGTGTTGGTGGCGATATGGAGAAAATGATTTCAAAGATTACAACGAATTCAGCTGTAAGATTTTCCACCTGTTCGAGAAGATTCAGCACAGTTTTGTCCTGCGCATTACTGTCTATATAATGATAATAGTATGCTATTACATGGTGATCTTTCTAATATTGGTGAGTAATGAAATGACCCTATAAAGTGTACATATTCTTGAGCAGCATCACCAGGAGAGTCGATCTAGCCATGCCTGTTCTTCCTACTGCAGGTAGTATATAAAACGAAACGGGAAGAATCGTTCGACTATATCATATTGCTCCCATAGGAACACAGTTTTTAAATATATATAGAGATATAGTTATTCTTACATTTTCAGAAAAAGGTTTCACTTACATATATCAAAACCCGTCAACTATAAAGTTATAGGAAAATTTATAGGAAAGTCGACATAGCTTTAACATATAAACTTAAGAACCAAATATAGTATTTTTAAAATTGGTAATTCTAATTTTAATGCAGAAGGTTTTTTTGGCGTCTTTTAACGCCCAGGATAATTAATACAAGCAGTCATAGTTAAAATAATATGTTAAGTAATCTTAAACTCTGTTTTTCTATTTAAAAAAAATTACCAGATAAACTGTGACCAAAGCCAATATGAGCTGGACTTCATTGAGAGCAAACTCTTTCACTATGAAATGGATCGGGACAGCTGCTTCCATCCGTGGGCCTTCACGAACATGATGGCACTTGTCATTGGCATGAGCTACACCTTCGCACGAATTCCTTTCGCCCTCAAGACAATCATCGGCTGCTGCGAGGCTGTGGTCTACCTGCTCATCGTGAGTTTTCAGTACGTTTTCATTTTCCAGCACAGTTCCACAACGACACCGTATTTGAGGGCGGAAATAGCTCATTGTACTCGGGTGTGCATGATGCTGATTACCATGTACGCCAAGGAGCGTCAGTCGGAGTTCAACACAAAAATGAACTACAAGTAAGTCTCTATTATAAATGGACTCTGGGGTCAACCCCAACTGTTAATGATTCCTAAAATCACCAACCTTTTTTGGCTGTTCGCAGGCTCAACGTGGATTTGCAAAAAAAGCAAAAGGCGGCCGATGTAACCAACCAGTCAATTATAATTCTTCTAAATAACATTCTTCCTTCTCATGTTGGTCAGTATTTGACTTAATATCACTCCAAGGTATTCAATAAAACCAGGATTGTTTTTTTGTATTCCGCAGTCGAGCTCTATCTCAATTCAGTAGCCAACCACGAACTCTACTATGAAAATTATCGAATGGTATCTGTCATGTTCGCAATGTTAATAAATTTTCAAATGGATTTGCCCAGCTTACGAGTGCTAAACGATATTATAACAGAGTTCGATAGATTGGTAGGATGAATTAATAAGTCCTTTTAATATTCTCATATCCCATTCTTCTCATCTCAGCTGACTTCCTATAAGGATTATTACTCGGTTGAGAAAATCAAGGTCGTTGGTTGCACTTATATGGCAGCTTGTGGATTAGATTATAACCTGGCCTCCAAAATTCGAAACACTGATCTTCGCAGTAGCTCATACCAATGTGAAAGTTAGTACTGATAAGGGGAAAATTTGCCCTTCTCTTTAAAACGAGTTTCGAGTTTACTATTGATTTAATTTTAAAAACCAGTATAGCATATATGCCTTAAAATAATTATAAGCAATATGCAATACACATAAGTGCAAATTATTGGAATTGTTTTTAAGTTATAAAAAAAAACGATTATTACATAGATTTATTCAATTTTTCTTTCAGTGGATCGGGTGCGGAGTCGACAAACGTCGATGTCAATCGACTTTGACGCCAACAGGAACCAAGAGGTGATCTTTATGATGACCACGTTCGGCCTGGACCTGATGCGAACTCTGTCGGTGTGCAATAAGGCGTACGCAGGTAGACCCTTCGATCGGGCTTTATCGACCGGGGAGATCTGCATCGGCATCTCCAGTGGCGAGATAATGGCTGGAGTGGTTGGCGCTTCCCAACCGCACTACGACATCTGGGGAAATCCGGTCAATATGGCCTCTCGGATGGAGTCGACGGGGCTGCCTGGACACATCCAGGTGACGGAGGAGTCCGCCAAAGTTCTCGAGGAGTTCGACATTATGTGCTTTTACCGCGGCTTAACCTTTGTGAAGGGCCGTGGAGAAATACCAACCTACTTTGTGGGCATCGATGATAATTTACAGTTCATTTCCAGGAGGAGCTACCTACCTTCTTTAAGTCACTCGCGAGATAGCGTATCTATTTAGTACGATGAAAAAGAAAAAATTTAAGTCTCTTAATAAGAAATACGTATCTAGATTTCATTTTGCAAGATCGTATCGTCAATTTGAAGTTTCTATATGTAGGATGGACGAATTGAGATACGGGACTTTACAAAATGAATTCAAGAAACGTATCTCTTTCTATACCATTGGAAAATATATTTATTTTTTTGAAATAATTAAAAATGATGTTTTAAAATTATTTTCATACATGGAACGATTATAGAGGGGATCAGATGTTTTAGCAATTAAATAAGCTTAGTTTTCTATCAGTTTGGCTAATAAGCTTTGGGATTTCCTTTTTTTAGGGAAATCTCTTTTTTTACTCCCTTGGTTTACCAGTATATACAACAAGGGCTAACAAATGAAGGCGAGCTTTTCGTAATAACAAGGGCACGATATTTTTAGAGAATCAAATCACAATTCTTTAGAGGTATGCCACTTTGGAATCGGCTTAGGTTTGGTAAAGTTATGGACTCTCGACGTCCAATTTTTAGTCACATTTTTACAAGACATCGGAAAATTAGAAATAACTGACATGAAAATGGGTCAAAAATTTGATCGACGTTAAATTGAAAAATTTTAATGCAGATTTTTAGAGAATTGAATCACCATTCTATGTCACTTTGGAATCGTCTTAAATTTGGTAAAGTTATGGACTCTCGAATAATTATTATGAAATTTATGGCTTAAAAATTATACCCCGCTAAAGTAGGCATTGAGAACAATGTTCAGTTAATTTAGTTGAGTTGCACAGTCTAGTCATTCGAAGTCAGAGGCTGGATCAGTTTACGAAAATAAAGCAATATGCCCCCTTTTGGAGGAAAGTGCCAGCTCAACTACACGCGGGAGCGCATGTGGGAACCGGGCTACCTTAAGGTAAAATGTAGTTTGGCTTTACTTCAAATAAAATAAATGCAATTCCCAGGCCAAGTGTGCAGAGTTGCACTTGGAGGACGAGTTCCGATTGTATCGGATACGCCTTTGGAAAAGTTATTTATGCGTATTCTTCATGCTGCATATTTTTGTCACTTTTTTGCACTGTCTCCTGCTATTAACTACCGTTGAGGTAAGTAACCTGCAAGAGTATTATTTTAATGATGATACTTGCTATGAACACTTTAATTAAGCCTTTGGGTATTTAATTTGTAAAGCCATTTGAATAATTAACAAGAAAGGAAAGCTAACTTTGGGCGGAGCCGAAGTTGATATACCCTTGCAAAATACTCTGTAAATTATATTCTTCAAAATTATTCATATGATGCATTCTTAATACTCATAAAAAATCCCAACTTCCTAACTTTACAAACACCAAAGTTATGGCATTTCCGATCGTTCAGTTATATGGCAGCTATAAGATATAGTCGGCCGATTCTCATGAAATTCGGTAGGACAGATTAATTGGCCAAAAATAAAACCCATAGCAAATCTTAACTTCCTAACTTTACAAACACCAAAGTTATGGCATTTCCGATCGTTCAGTTATATGACAGCTGTAATATATAGTCGGCCGATCCTTATGAAATTTGGTATATCGGATTGATTGGCCAAAAATAAAACCTATAGACAATCTCAACTTCCTAACCTAATAAACACCAAAGTTATGGCATTTCCGATCAATCAGTTGTATGGCAGCTATAGGATATAGACGGCCGATCCCGGCCGTTTCGACTTATATACTGCGTGCAAAGGAAAGAAGGGTGTGTGCAAAGTTTCATCATTTTAACTTTGTTAAATACGACTTTTGAGGAAGAATTATTATTTTAAAATATATATTTATTTATTTAATTATTTTAAAATGTTCTTGTTTAGCAATTTTAGGTGGTAGAAACAATAAAAACTGGCTGTTTAAAATAAAATCTTGCATTTTTTGTTAAAGAGGGACTAAGGATAACATTTTAAAGTGTATTTAGTTAGTCGTCAAAAAATTGAATATCATAAATTGTGTATGTTTTTGTTTGATACTATAACAGCCGATATATGATATATAATAACTTTAAAAATAATATTTTTATTTCTTCTTCAGAGCCAAAAGATGTTATTTGATATATCACTTTATATTGGATGTTGCGTGATTCTTATAGTAGCATTGAGTGTCAACTTCTGCGATGGCTTCATTGCAAACAACACATGGTATATGTATGCGAGTTCGATGTTTGCATCCCTGATTTTGGTATTCGCGGGTAACCGTTTGAAAGCCTATATTAATATGATAATGACATTTCCTAACACTACTTACAGACCTCACGGAATCTATTTACCACAGTTTCGCCCACAATTGGCAACTGGGTACTTTCTACGACACCTACATAATATACATGATATACATGTTCCTGCCGATCCACTTTATAAGTGGAGCGGTTCTACTGGCCCTCCTGGTATCCGCCCTGTATATAATATACTATATTCAATTTCTTGCCAATGGCTTTCCCCAATTCGTGGCCGAACTGTTCTCAGTCGGCGGTATGTCCGTGGACATCCTGCACTACCTATGCATCAACCTGGTGGGCATATTCTATCGCGTGATGAACGACACGGTGGTGCGCTCCTCGTTCCTGGACCGCCACCAGTTCATCAAGGAGGAGCTCTGGCTGCGCAACGCCCGGCTCCAGGAGAAGCAGCTGCTGGACAGCATCCTGCCGCCCCAGATCTCGCAGCCCCTGCAGAAGGACATTCAGAACAGGATTGTCCTGGCTAAACAGGGCGCTGGCATTCGCTTGTTTAGTGCCTTGGAACGCACCATGGCCATCCAGATCCACCCCGATGTCAGCATCCTCTACGCCGACGTGGTGAACTACACCCACCTGACCACCACACTCACGGTGGAGAAGTTGGTAAAGGTGCTCCACGACCTCTATGGTCGGTTCGACATGGCTGCCTTCCGCTTCAAAGTGCAGCGCATCAAGTTCCTGGGCGACTGCTACTACTGTGTGGCGGGCTTGTCGGACCCCGATCCCGATCACGCGGACAACTGTGTGGCCCTGGGCCTCGCCATGATCTCCATCATCCAGGAAGTGCGGTAAGTCGCGTCCAAAATAAAGGTATTCTAAATTATATTCCTTGGATCGATCCCTTACTTTTTTTTTTTGAATGTCTTGGTTTTTTAACAAACTGTGTTCCGTGTCTAAAAAGCTGTAGGCATTCTTTGTTAACATACTTCAGAAAGGCTACATTCTAGTGCACACTGGCCTCCAATTTCAGAAATAGTTCAAGAAAAATAAGCATGCGCCACTTATGGCACAAAGGTTTGGAGTAAGTAAACCAAGCAAAAAAGTGGGCTCAAATAGAAGTAAATGTATTGTATGTATATTAAGATTTCTATGATGGACTACATTTAACGAAACAAGGATTTCAAAAGTAGTATTTGCATTACCTTATAAGTAGATTTATAGTCCACATTGTTGTTCTCAACCTAAAACCAATTTGTATCGATTTTGATTGCTTAGGTCATAGATAACCTAGAAATAGTCCCCATTTGTATTGGTATAATCTTAATTTATAAGCAGAATTGATTGGCTGTAATTTATGAACCAAATCTACCGCCTTCGTTTATGTTATTTTATATTATTTTTAACCCCCAATCCCCCAGTGACGTTCAAGGCTTGGACATAAATATGCGCATTGGGGTTCATTCGGGGTTTCTGTTCGCAGGGGTCATTGGCGAGGCCAAGCTGCAGTTTGATATATGGGGTGAGCTGGTCAATCTGCACCGCGACTTCCCGCTGGTAACCACTATTTTTCTAATCTTCCTAGGAGTGGACGTCACCATTGCCAATGTCTTGGAGTCCACTGGAGTGGCCGGTTTTGTGCACATCAGTGGTGCCACCCTGAACAATCTGAGCGACCAACGCTACGTTATTGGCGAAGGACCTGAAAGTGCAAGAAACCATCCGTTTCTGACAAATTACCATATAATTACATTCATAGTTCGGGAAGTATTGTCGGATAATGAGGAGGACAATGATGAGTTAATTGGTGAATTGCACACTGTCTCCCTCGTTAAATTAGCATCAATACAAAGACTAAGTGATAATACCGATGAAGGCTTAAAAGCTAGGTTCAGTGAAGAGTTGCACGAAGAATTTCGCAAAATGCCGGTCAGTCCGTTTAAGTAAGTACATGTTTCGAAGTGAATGTTTTTTAAATAATTAAAATTAAATTAAACTGTTTTACAGTCAGAAAACATTTTACGGGATGTATCGGCAGAAAGATGGTGCGACGCTCCCATTGTATCACCAGTTAAACATTTGTCTGACCTTCTACGACAACTCCCTGGAGAAGGCCTACCTCACACAAGTCGACTATATGTTCAAGTACAGCATGCTGCTGGCCTGGTGCGTTGGATGTGCCCTGTTGTACATTGAACTGATGGACACCAAAATGATATGCACCTCTTGCATCATTTTGCCCGCCATTGTGTCCACATTGGAGACCATTCTGACCTTCATCGCGTGGTACAAGAAGCTTTGCTGGGCAAGGTATGGGAAATACGGCCTGCCCCACAACTACAGTCGAGTCAGCTGCATTATATTTCGCATCCACGAGAAAATCATAGCCAGTCTGAGCATCCGAATCGTCATATACCTCTTCCTGGTGATATCCAGTTTCTGCGTGGTGTGTATTATTATGGTGAGTTATTAAAGCGATCGAAAATGTTTTTATTTACTTGAACGGCGATTCCCTCATTCAGATGACCTGCGATCCCGGAGAGTTTGAATTGATGTATATCGAGGAACGACTCTTTCACTACGAACAGGAAAGAAAGATATGTTTTCATCCCTGGGTTGCGACCAACATGGTCTCTCTAATGATCTGCCTGACATTAAGCTTCGGCCACATTCCGTTCTTGGTGAAAACAGCAATGGCCTTTTTGGAGACCATTGCCTACTTGATGATCATCTTCTTCCATTTTGAGTTTGTATTCCACCACAGCGTGACCACGAACCCCAATTTTAAGGCAGAGTACGCACATGCTCTGCTGATATGTGTCACCCTGATAATAATGTTTGCCAAGGAGCGCCAAATTGAGTTCACCAACAAAGTAAACTTCAAGTGAGTTCGATTCACTTCAAGCGAATTTGTATTGCATTTACATTTACTCCAATTTCTTTAGCTGGCGAGTTGAGTTGAGGAAAAAGGAGAGAGACGCTAATATCACCAATCACTCCATCATAATTATCCTGAACAACATTCTTCCTAGTCATATAGGTGAGTATTGGACTGAGGAGCACCAGTGGAATTGGACTGTATTCTCTTTTCGCAGTGGATGTCTACCTCAATTCATTAGCCAAGCACGAACTCTATTATGAAAATTATCAAATGGTTTCCGTCATGTTCGCCATGTTATTGAATTTTGAAATAGATCTTCGAAGCTTGCGAGTACTAAACGAGATTATTGCCGAATTCGATGTTCTGGTAAGCTATATAAGGCCCTATCTCGAGGGCAGGTAGAGAACAGTAAAATTGATAAATCACACATTCAAATATCAACATGTCCATGTATGCCTGCCGACAGCTTTTGTAGGTTATCCATAGATTTTCCCCAAAAAGGTTTTATTTCTTATATAATTGGAAGACGAGAAATATTTTTAAAAACTTCACTTTAAATTGTATACCCGATTACAGTTGCTGTTCTACAAGGAATATTATTCGGTTGAGAAAATCAAAATCGTCGGATGCACATATATGGCGGCTTGTGGACTGGACCTGAACTTTGCGGGTTCCACTAGTAAAACAGAGAAATCCGACACAGAACGAGGTGCTAAACGCTTGGATCGAAAAAACTAATTGCATTACATAACATTCCTTACGTTTCAGACAGCACCGGAAAGAATCCACGAAAACTGTCCTTCGGGCATGACAAAAACGATCTCGATGAGGTGGTCTTTGTGATGACCTCATTTGCCCTGGACATGATGCGCACCCTGGCCAAATGCAATCGCTCCTACCAGTGTATTAAGGCAGATCGGACTATTATGGATGGAACAATCGCCATCGGCATTTCCAGCGGCGAGGTGATGGCGGGAATAGTGGGCGCCTCGCAGCCGCACTACGACATCTGGGGCAATCCGGTCAACATGGCATCTCGGATGGAGACGACGGGTCTGCCGGGCAACATCCAGGTGACGGAGGAGTCCGCCAAAATCCTCCAGGACTTTGGCATACTCTGCGAATATCGGGGATTGACTTTCGTGAAAGGGCGTGGTGAAATACCGACCTATTTAGTGGGAATCGATGAAGACCTCAACTTCATCAATACAGAACGAAAACGAGCTCCAAGTCACGTGGAACGCAGTACGGTTATATCGTTGCAATCCACCTATTCTCAGCCAGATGCTTCGGATAATCGCAGTGATATGAGTAGCTATTCTTAACCTTCCTTAGTTAACTTCAAGTATTTTACTTCACTCAGAATACTTACACATTTGTATTTGAGTTCTATTTGATTTATATTACAATCTTTAAATAATTGAATAAATTCTATATACAAACAAGAGAGAACGCTATAGTCGAGTGCCTCGACTATTAGATACCCGTTACTCAGCTAAACAACTTTAGATTTTGCATTAACATAATGTGAATTAGGGTGACCACAGGAAAAAAGGACAAAAACTTAAAATTATCAATTTGAATTAGGCGATCTCTTAGAGCTGGCAGCTTTACAGCACGAGCATCAGCACCAGCGCTGCTTTAGCGCAGGCAGCTTTTGTCCTGCACCAGCATACACACATACGCCATTGTTTGACTCAGACCTCCAATTGATTTGATTTGCATAGTTCTTGGGATACAGTTCGTTATTGACAAATGAAAATTATCGCAATTTCCTTTAATAGAAATCCTTATCGAGAATTAACGTTGACTCTGTTGAGCACCTTGGCCAGCTGTTCCAAAGTCATCCGTTAGATGGCGCTATTGTATTACGCCATCTACCCTAAGACATTGGTACCACGGGCCATGAAAGGCGGAAATGTAGGCGCTAGCCAGGCTTAAGCGTTTAATGGGTTTTTGGGCCAATCGATAGGTATTGACGAAACAAATACATATCAATTAAAATTTTCATAATAGCATAAAAACTGGGGCCACAGCTTGTGGCTTGTGGGCGTCAGAGGGGCGTGGCACCATTTTGAAACAAACTTGCGCTGCGTAGGAATTCCTAAAATCTACATGCAAAATGCCAATCCTCTAGCTTTTATAGTTTCCGAGATCTCAGCGTTCATACGGACGGACAGACAGACGGACAGACGGACATGGCTAGATCGACTCGGCTAGTGATCCTGAACAAGAATATATATACTTTATAGGGTTGGAAACACTTCCTTCTACCTGTTACATACTTTTGCACGAATACAATATACCCTTTTACTCTACGAGTAACGGGTATAAAAAATGAAACCGAAATATTTTATAACATTTATTAACTTTAAAATTACGGATATTTGCTTTACATCACTTTAATTTCTCTACCAATAAAATATTTTCTCATTCTTTTAAAGGCGTACTAAATTGTCAACCCATTTTTGTTTACAGCGAGTGACTTGCATTTTCCATTCGAATTTCAAACATAATTAATGATTTTGCTACGCCTATCCATTAAAAGTGTCAAAAACAAGAGCAGCAGCAGCAAAAACCAGAATCAGAACCCTGAATGCTAACTAGATTTTGCCTTTTTGCCCCACTCCGTTCCAGTTTAATTGAATTATTCCCAAACCGTGTTAAAATGTTGAGCGCCGAGTGCCTACTGATTTCGATGGAACCCCTTTTCTCACGAGCAATTAAATGGTATTTTTACAAGCAATTTGCAAAATATGATGGCGCTGACAGACTGGAAGGTGAGATGATGGCCTCCCTTTGATGCGGATGATGCCCGTCATTGTTTGCTGTAATCGACGAGTTCTCGCCGGGGTAAAACATCAAAAAAGCACGACACACGAAAATGCGAAAATACGCGTTAGAGAAACAGCCATTTCCGGTGAAAGCCCCCAGGATACGGTGTCCCTTTCCGCTCGTTATTGAGTTGTTTTATCTGCACGGACACAGTCCAACGTCCCTTTGACATGTAAAACGCTCTCGTCCAAATGCATGTCCCCAAAAAAAAAACACGTTGGCTCGTTTTAACAAGAAAAACTCAATGCCAACAATTTGAAATTCATGTGAATTCCAAATGCAAATTAAAATGCGAAACTTATTTGTTCGAAATCAACCGAGAAAATTAAAATAAAATTATTTTGTAGTATATCTAAGGGTGGTTTTATTTCAACGAGGAATTTGTTAGCACCACAATACAAAGAAGTTGCAAAGCCTATTTCGTAATTTAAGATTTTAAATAAAAATAATTTCCCGATTTCATTTGTAGTTATATACAGTTTTTTTAAAACTCCTTTTCTTTGGCTTTCAACATTTCTTTTTTATTCAGTGATTTCTAGCATCCAAATCTCAAAACCCTGGTAAGTTGCCTGCAAACTGAATATTTATACCGAAAAATAATAAAAAGAATGTTCATTTAGATCTTATCCACAAAACACAGTTGTAAATTTGGCTAAGTGCAGCTACACATTTGCAATTAAAATTTTCAATTAAAATTAGAATAAAACGGACTGAGTTATTTTTCAGTTATTCAGTTGTTATAAACAGAGCAAAGTTTTAAGGCAACCTGGTGCCGCACTCTGTGTTACGTATTCAGATGATTACTTCAAATACCGAAACTGGAAATAAAGACCAGTTCTAGCACACTCAATAACAATGAGAAAAATGTTTTTATATGACTAAAAGGGAGAGCCAAAAAAAACAAGAACGCAATCGAAATCGAGTTTCATTCTCAGGGCATTTGCCATTCCCAGAATCCAAACTAACAACATTAACTCAAGTCCACACTAAAATGCGAAAAAAAAGATGGAACTGGAACTAAACCCTCCCAAGCTAACTAATCTTTTTTTTAGGGATTTCTTTTTCCCTTTTACTAGTATTGTGTGTGTGTTTTGCTGCCAATCCGAGCGACCAAAACGAAAATGTCATCATCAGCACAGCTTTGGTCAGAGAATGGAAGAAAACCCAACCGAACTGGGAACTATCCGACTCGAACCGCCCCGCCCCCGCTGCTGCCCCTCATTTATATACATATACACTGCCACTCAGCGTAACTTTTTATGTGCAACATAGCAGAATGATTGTGTTCCGTTCCAGAAATATCAGCACAACAAGCACGGCAACAACTCCGGCCACAGCAACAACATCTTAAGCCGTTTCGCATAAAATTTCACACACCATTTTAGCCAAGTGCCACATTACCTGCACACAAGATGGGACTCGACTCGCCTCCTCCCAAAACCCATCCCAAACCCCATCCATGCCCGGAATGTCCTGTGAACCAAACCGAGAAAGAAAAATAAAACGTCGGAAAAATGCTGCAAAACACGAAACTGAACATAAAAAATACCTTTTGACACATGCAAGCAGAACCAAATGGGGGCGTGGCCACAGCCAAAAGTGTTGGCCAGTTGAGGGAAGCGGATGGAAAGGCTTAAAATCAGCGGGCAAGGACTAAAATGGCGCCAGCCAAACGAGCTGAAAAGGAAAAGAAAAATCTTGAAAATTGCATTTTAAGAAGAACTTCGTGTGGCTACATCGAAAAATCTATAAACACACACACATGAGAGGGTACATCTATATCTATATATATACAGAACTATATGGCAAAGTGCGACTAAATGCAGACGATGGAAAAAGGATACAGGGAAGCTCAATCTGGCAGTGACTTGGGGCCACAATAGCCATTCGGTTATCCAGTTGGTCAGCAAAGCATGCAGGACCAATCCAATACAATTTTAACGGTAATGTTGGCCGAAAGCAAGCGATGGCGAAATTGATATGGCCAACAAAATGGTGAGCCCTTACATTCACTCACACCCAAACAACTGAGGTGCAGATGCAAACAAAAATATCACGTATACGCACCATAAACAGCGGAGCTCAAAGGATCCGGAATGGGAAACGATTGCTCTGCTTTCTCTTGAAAACATTTTCGATTCTAGCATTTTGAAACAGAAAATTTGATTTTGGGTGAGATTTTAATGGTTGGTCTTTTAAAGCATAATTAAGCTTTTCCTTATTTATACAAATTCAATAACCTTATTTGCTTGACGGGGAAGAATACTATTAAAAATTGTGACTTTTCAGAAAGTCCTGGATGTAAAAGTCAAACACCCAACTTTATGTACTACAAGAAATTCCATGTTGTTTGCCACTCAGAGCCAACCTACTTGGGCAGAAATCCAAATCCGAAGCGCGAAAACCGAGCGGCAACAACTACAGAATTATGGCAACAAATTGCGAACAAACAGGCAACAAACAAGTGAATCACCTTTAACGCTTCCTATGCACTTTTTGGTCCTTCGCCCTGCCACTCGCTCTCTATCCTTTTTCCGGCCAAAGGAGCTTGGGCAGTCGGCAGTGAAAAACAGGCACGGCGTTCGATGGGCGGAAGGCGTGGCAGGTTCTGTCATAACTTGCACTGCCTTCAGGCTACTCAAAGAACCAGGAATGACAAAAACTGCACAGAAGCAGCAGCAGACTGGCTGAACAGCTAAAGACCGAGACATGCATGTCAAAGGACAACGAAATCTTTGAGTGTGAGCTTTGGGGCTCGAACACAGAAAAAAATACATATTGCCGTGTTATGTTTGCTGGTGAAAAAAAAAATTTTTTGGGACTAGAATTTGCTTCTAATATAATTTTTCCCAAACAGGCTTCGCTTAAATTTGTATTTTAGTGCGATTGTTATACATTAAAAGACAACCAGCCTGGCTTAGCAAGTCATTCGAAAAATCAAACCGAATTGTTAGAATCTTATTTGTGTGGGTTTTTTTAAAAAAGCTATTGCAAATTGTAAGATGAAACTTTCTGGCCAATATTTGCGATATCTACAAAGGCGATTCCGAAGTCACATACGAAGGGTTCCGAGAAATAACTATAGATTTCTCATGCCAATGGATGTCGATGGCTATGAAGAGGTTATGCTTTGGGAAGATGACGATCAAGAAATTCAATTGATGGATACTGGTTTTAGTTTTGTATAGGAAATATGATTAGTTGATCAATTCTACGCGATTGAATGCCTATTAAAGTCGATCATTTTGAGAAACTGCTTTCATTTGCTAATTTCTTGCTTTTATAATATTTGCTTAAAAGCAGTATGGATTTTTTAAGAGTTTTTGTTACTAAAAAAGATTTTATAAATTTCAAACTTGACATTAATTCATTTATATTCATATTTAAAAACAAAATTGGTCCTACAATGGTTATTGAAACAATCAAAAGTGGGTCATCCTTGGCTTTTCAGGGTGGTCTTAATTGAAAGCCAACCCACTGAAGCTCGATT